CCACCGTTCATGACACTGGGCTGGGGTCCGGCTTCAGCACCTGCTCCACCGTTCATGACACTGGGCTGGGGTCCGGCTTCAGCACCTCCTCCACCGTTCATGACACTGGGCTGGGGTCCGGCTTCAGCCCCTGCTCCACCGTTCATGACACTGGGCTGGGGTCTGGCTTCAGCGCCTGCTCCACCGTTCATGACACTGGGCTGGGGTCTGGCTTCAGTGCCTGCTCCACCGTTCATGACACTGGGCTGGGGTCTGGCTTCAGTGCCTGCTCCACCGTTCATGACACTGGGCTCGAGTCCGGCTTCAGCGCCCGCTCCACTGTGGACAACACCGGGCTCGGGTCCGCCTTCAGCGCCTGTTCCACTGTTGACGACACCGGGCTCGGGTCCGCCTTCAGCGCCCGTTCCACTGTGGACGACACCCGGCTCGTGTCCGCCTTCAGCGCCCGTTCCACTGTGGACGACACCGGGCTCGGGTCCGCCTTCAGCGCCCGTTCCACCGTTCACGACACCACAGCCTGCGGCACCACGCCACCACCGGACCTCTCACTTTGCACAGAGGTGGACGTGCCGGGGCCCCTCCGCCCCTCAGCCCTGCAGAGTGGGCGCGGCACTGCTGTCTGTAAGACAGAGGGGGGAAGCCCCTGCCCTGTGGGAACACCAAGCTCATCCTCGTCTGCAAAGGGGTGAATGTGGCTGCGGGAGAGAGCAGGGGTATGGAGAGAGGAGGTCTGCATCCTGCAGCCGTCAAGCCCTCCTAGTGGACGTGGGACGTGGACGGACAGAGCACGTGGTCCTTTTGGCCGGCGTCTGCCTCGCGATAGTGTTCGCAGTGCCATCAGGACGCGGCAGGGCTTTTCTCGTTGCATCCGAGTCCAGCAAGAAGGAAATCACACGTTTGTGTGGACCACTCGGGACACAGCAGTGTCAGAATTCCGCGGGCTCGAGATGCTGCTAGTGAGCGGGCATAACCGAGGTGGAACGTGCTGGAGGTGTTTTGTAACCTGTCTTGTTTAGTAATGATTTGTGATGTGAACATATTTTGTATTTATTTGTTTTGGTGGATAATAACATTCTGTTAGCTGAAGATGCTATAGTTTACCTAATTGCTTCTATACTGGACGTTCGATAGCTTCGAGTTTTTCACGTTGCAGGAAGCACTTGTGCGTGAATTTAACGTGCAGTTCTGAGAATTTACTGAAGAGCCTACCCGTGGAGCTGCCTGCTCAGGCTCTGACACTCATGAAGACGGTGGCCATCTTTCCACACGACTCTCAGAGCTGTCCCTGCCCGCCTCCCTGCCACCACTGAGGGGCCACGGGCCTTCGAACCCTGGGCCAGGTAGTGGGTGACGTGGCATTCGATCGGTAATTGTAAAACATAAGTTAGGTCAGTGTGGTGTCTTGGCTACCTAGTGCTGCTATAACAGAAATACCACAAGTGGATGACTTTAACCAACAGAAGTTTATTCTCTCACAGTCTAATAGGCTACAAGTCCAAATTCAAGACGTCAGCTCCAGGGGAAGGCTTTATCTCTCTGTGGGCTCTGGGGGAAGATCCTTGTCATCATTCTTCCCTGGTCGAGGAGCTTGTCAGCGCAGGGACCCTGGGTCCAAGAGACACACTGTTCTCCTGGCTCTTGTTTCTTGGTGGTATGAGGTCCCCCTGTCTTTCTGCTTGCTTCTTTCTTTTATATCTCAGAAGAGAGTGACTTAAGACACAACCTAATCTTGTAGATTGAGTCTTGCCTCATTAACATAACTGCTGCTAATCCCAGCTCATCATCATCATAGAGACAGGATTTACAACTCACAGGAAAATCACATCAGATGACAATGGTAGACAATCACACAGTACTGGGATCATGGCCCAGCCAAGTTGACAGACATTTTTGGGGGACACAATTCAGTCCATGGCAGTATGGTCAGTCCTTTGATGTGTGTTAATTGGCTTTTTGTGTTTTTTCATACGTTTTCTTAGCTCTTGAACATTTATTGTCAGATTTCCCCAGAATTATACCAGATTTGAACATTATTTCAGAGAGGAATGGCTCCTTTACGGAACAAAGTACGCTTCTATCTCCCGTGTGTCCCCATCCCCTGGGTGTTCTGGGGTCGTCACTGTCCCTGTGTTGGTGGCGATGGCACCATGGTGGCACTGCACACATTCCTGGCATGTGTTGTGAGATACGCTGGCTTGTGCTGCTGCTCGCTGGAGCTGCCTCTCTGATCCCTCTCTTCTTGGAGGGAGATGCACAGATAGCCCTGACGATCTCAGGGACACGGATTCAGTGATCCAGAGGAGCCTAGGCCGTTTGCCTCTGGTTTGTTCAAGTCTAATTGCTTGCGATGATCTCCAGTGGTGATTTCAGGCTGACGCGTGCCTGACTCTGTCCAAGGGCTGTCAGTCCACAGTGGCCTGCGGTTCCTCACTTGGAGTCTGTGGGTGGGGGACCCAGGCTTCTCAGCATGTCAGGTGGGGGCTGTAGGAGTAATGAGACGGCTGTGTGCTGCCCGCAGGCTGAGGCTCGACTGCTGGAGGAGCAACGCCGCGTTCAGGTGTACCTGCACGAGAGCACGCAGGATGAGCTGGCACGCAAGTGTGAGCAGGTGCTCATTGAGAAGCACCTGGAGATCTTCCACACAGAGTTCCAGAACCTGCTGGATGCCGACAAGAATGAAGGTGAGCACAGACGCGCAGGAGGTGTGTGCTGGGGTGGGCAGGGCTCGGAGTAGAGCATCACCTCGTGGTGGACATGCTACCTGTGGCGAATGGCCCACAGCGCACCCCGGCTGAGCAGGCGCCCCTGGGCTGGACACAGCACCGTGGTGCTCGCCGAGCCTGGGGCCTGGCTGCTGAGGCCCACATGTGGCGGGTGTGCGGCACTCACCGCCCGGGGCCTCGTAGGGGGACAGATAGCAGGCAAATCCTTCCCCTTGAGAAGCATCTGATGTTGGTGAGGGCAGCGCAGCAGGAACAACAGGAGAAGACCCAGGAGAGTGGAGACATCCCTGTGTCCTGGGCACTGCATGTGGGGAGTGCAGGTGGGGGAGTGCAGGGGCCTGGAGCACGAGCCGAGACGTGACGTCCCTGTGTCCTAGGCCACTGGGTGCGGGAGTACAGGGGCCTGTAATGCGAGCGGAGACATCCCTGTGTCCTGGGCACTGCGTGCGGGGGTGTGTGCAGGGGAGTGCAGGGGCCTGGAGCAGGAGCCGAGACGTGACATCCCTGTGTCCTGGGCCACTGGGTGCGGGAGTGCGGGGGCCTGTAGTATAAGCGGAGACGTCCCTGCGTCCTGGGCACTGCGTGCGCAGAGTGCAGGGGCCCGGAGCACGAGTGGAGATGTCCCTGTGTCCTGGGCACTGCGTGCGCAGAGTGCAGGGGCCC